TTTTCAATCGTTGAATAATTTAACTCATGCTCGTTGAGAGTTCTACTTGCATAGCATATAGGCTTATGCTCTTGCGAAAGGACGGCCCCTATTGCCATATTACTCGCGTCTGTAGTTAATGAAAATGGTTTTTCGAAGTTAGGGTATATTAAAATTGGGTCGGATGTTATGAGTACTTTTAGCTTTTCAAACGCTAGTTCGTAGTCTCTGTCTTTTATATTGATTTTTGCTCCTTTTTTTAATTTAAGTGTTAATGGTTTTACTATATTAGCGAAATTTGGTATAAATTTCCTATAGAAACCACATAATCCTAGAAATGATTTAATTTCTTTTGGGGTTTTTGGAATTGGGAATTTGACAATTGCTTGTATCTTGTTGGGATTTGGTTTTATACCCTCAGTTGTGATGATGTGACCGAGAAATTCAGTTTCTTTTCTCATAAACTCGCATTTATCCAACTGTAGTTTTAAGTTAGCTTCTCTAAGCTTCTTAAATACCTTTTGTAGCGACAAAATGTGTTCCTCCAATGAAGTGGAAAAAATAATAATGTCGTCTAAGTAGACCAGACAATCCTTAAAAATTAAATCTTCTAAGAGATTGTTCATACAACGTTGGAACGTTGCAGGTGCATTCTTAAGACCAAATGGCATGCGAGTGTACTCGTAATGGCCATGTTTAGTCGAAAATGCGGTCTTGGGTATTGAACCAGGATCCATTTGGATTTGGTGGAAGCCTTTGGCTAGATCAATGGTTGTGAAATATTGACATTTTCCAAGTTTGTCTAATATTTCATCCATGATCGGGATAGGGTATTTATCATTAATAGTTAGTTCATTGAGATTGCGGTAATCTATGACTAACCGGAACTTTTGCTTTCCAGATGCATCGTTTTTCTTTGGAACGATTATTACTGGTGAGCAGTAAGGGGATTTGGATTTACGTATGATATTTTGTTTTATCATATCGCTTATTTGTTTATTTACTTCCTCATCGTATATTTGAGGATATTTGTATGGACGCTTGTAAATTGGGTCCTCATGTTTTGTTAGAATTTTGTGTTTAATTGTACTAGTGAAAGTCAAATTGTCACCTTCATGGTACTGGATATCACGAAATTCATGTAAAACTTTTTTTATTTTTTCTTTTTCTTCTGAGTTTAGGTGCTCTAGCCTAAACTCATTGTTTTCTATTAATTCATTATTAATAGCGAAGTTAAATGGTCTGTCCTCTGTTGAGGGTGGATCAAGGCACTCTTGTGCGGTCATGTCCTCTTCGACCTCTTCGTCGTTATATCTAAAACAAAAGTTAAATTCTCCTAAGGTTACGGATCCTTGTGCATAGTCTATTTTTGCTTGACATGCCTCAAGGTATTCTCTCCCAATCAGAACATCATAATGCTCTGAGAAGTCGTGAATATAGAATTTTTGTTTGCTCGGACAAATTTTGCTTGCTCCTAATCGTATACTTTGTTTTAATTCAATAACACCATTTATGGTGTGAACCTTTAATGTTTCGTTGTAAACTGGAAAATTTAAGCGGTTTGTTTTCATTAGATTTATGGTTGAACCTGTGTCGATGACACATTTTAGAACTTCGTCATTCATAATCAATTTTATGAATGGATTTCTTCTGTTTGTTCCGAGGCTTGCTGATGAAAATTTTCGGATGTATCCATTTTCATCTGCCCACTGTTACTATCTCTTTGACGTTTAGTCGGAGGGTTTGGTGCATTCAAGCGTGAATGGGACTGATTTTGGTAGTTTAAGGGATTTTGGTATCTACCTTGACTTAATTTCTGTTGGAACTCGTGGTGAGCTTTCTGATTGTCTTCGGACTTATTATGCTGTTTATTTTGTGCGTGATAACTCTGATTCGTGTTGGAATAGCCACTTGAAATGGTGGTTGGGTTAGCATTTTGCTGATAATTTCCCATGTTCCTACGATTGTTATTTGGATTTCCCTGAACATTATTATTTTTAGGTTTTTCAGTAACGCTATTTTCATATAATCCCTCTCTTTGAGCTACTTGCTTTAGTTTTTGTGTCGACGTAATGTCGTGTCTGGCTAACATCATGAAAAGCCTATCTGGTAATTTTTTTGTAATAACATCTTTGATTGTGTTATTCATAGCATTTGTATAAAGGGTTGTATTGCTAGGTATATTTTCTAGTGCTAACTTATTTAAAATAACAAAAGATTTATTCTCGAGCTCCTCGATGAACTTACGGACGTTTCCTTGGTAATTCGTGTTGTATAAGCGTCGAAGGAGTTCTTCAAATGGTGTCTGCACTTTGTATTCTTCAATCAATGCGTTTCTCAGCTCCTGCCAAGTGTTGGCTGCTGTCCTTTGTGATATTCTCTGAGCATCTCCTGTGACTTGCAATTCGATGGCTCCGTATAAGATGCTATGTTGTCTAACATCTCGGGTTGGATACAGGTGTAGGATGTAATCTATCCTTTTAATGAAGGCGTTTAGTTGATCCGTTGATCCGTCAAAGCTTGGCACCTGTCTAAGTTGTGAAAGGGCCTGGTTGAGGTGTTGTTCTGATAATTCCATTGTCATCTTGGTGTAATACACTTTTTTTTGAATAGTTTTGAGTTTGTAGGTTTGAACTTTATTGTTCTTTGATTTTGCACTTTTATTTTAAGTTAAAGTTTGTGATGGATTATTGTGCAAATGTTTTTTTTTTTTTTTGTGTGTGTGTCTTAAAAAGACTCAGTAATAACGTATTGCAGGGATCAAACGATATGCAAAGCCAGTCGTTATTAACTGTAGTAGCTTTATTGCCCAAAGGGTCAATATTATTAAGCTACTAATGACCCGAAGGTTCTTGTGCGGATACGTATTCGAGAAAATTTTTATTACACTCCGACAACACTTTCGGTCGCGATTGTGCGTTAGATCTGGGAATTAATTATCCTTTAGCGATCTTTAATTTTTCCCGACGTATCCTACCGACTGCGCCAATTAAGTTTTACACGTTAGGTTACTATAAAAAAATATATTTCAATTTATTATTTTCACTTAACGGCTACTTTTGTTGAGTACATTCAGATTTGCTTCCCGAATATGAACTAATTTATCTAACTGTTGCGGTCGCTTAGCAAACTTCGCTTTGAGAGAGTTTGAGTCAAAATTGAGTGAAGTTTGAGCTGCGTCAGCAATTATGCGTGGGATAGTACTCTGATGGGAACATTGACAGTGGCGTGATATTTAGGGTGAATTGTTTATGTCTACCAAAGGGGGACAGTTTGATCTTGACCAATGTCGATGTTATCACCAGGCTCTTTGTTTACAATATTAGAAATGTTTATAATTGTGCTTATGCTTATGTGCTAAGTTATGTTAAAGGGTGGGTGCGACTATGGATATGTCACTATATATATATATATATATATATATAATATAATGCGCTCACTCACCTATTAAGCCGTCATACAGTTTTCAAATCTTCGTTAAAAAGGGCACACGTGTAAAATAATGTACATAAAGTTCAATTCATTTTAATACCCTGAACCCATTAAAAATGGCTATAAGGGTATATTGTATTTATGCAAAATCCAAATGTATGTAACTAGCAGAAGGATGCATCTCCGACCCCATAAATTATGTATATTCTTGATCAGCATCAATAGCCGAGTCGATCTAGCCATGTCCGTCTGTCTGTCCGTCCGTCCGTATGTATGAACGCAAGGATCTCAGAACATATAAGAGCTATAGACTTGAAATTTTAGATGTAGGTGCTCCTAGTTCCCGCGCAGATCGAGTTTATTTCCGATAGTCGATAACTTACTCAGTTTCCAAGCAATCGATAAAAATCGATATCGATATCCTGTTTTTTGGGCAATTTTGGTAAATAAGAGCACTAACCAAACAACATATAGACTGGACATCCCATACAAATTTATCATTAAAAAGAAGAGCGCGCGTCAGACGCGTGCAATAATGTATTTTCTTTTGCGCCCATGATCAGGCCATTCACAGACATTTGTATGGGTGTGTCTGTGTGTAGAGGTCCAAAATCAGAATTCCTAAAATCTTGTTAAATTTCCATCGGGGACAGGCAAGCAACAGGTACACAAGCGCATAAATGCTTCTATTCATATACAAAATATGCAAGTATGCGTGAATAGCGAGTCCAAAATCTTTTAAATGCACACATGCACACACCAACGATAGCGAGCTAAATTGCAAGAATTTCGCATCGACGAGGCAAACCCTTTCTCTATTTCATATTAGCCGTGCCTTCAAAAGGGTAGAAATGCCTCAACATTTGAGAAAAATTGAATTTGTGCGCAGTTTTGCTCGTCGGACAAATACACACACACACACATTGAAACGATCCCTAAACATAGAGAGAGCATTGAGAGCTGAGAGTAAGTGCGAGCGAGATAAAAGTTAACAGCGTTGCCGTTCTATCGCACAAATCATATGGAAGAGAGTGCGCCAAGCACTTTCCTGTAGAGTAAGCGGTTCAAAAATACATCATATGTATATCTTACTCCCTAACTCGCGAGCTTGGACCAGATGCCTCCGATATATTTTGTGACTGCTTTCCGGTACTCATGTCCAGTCTATATGTTGTTTGGTTAGTAATAAGAGCTAAATTGGAATATATATGCATTTGATGTTGGAAGAAGAGGGTTCAGGGTATCCCCTAGTCGGGAGCTCCCGACTGGTACCTCTTACTTGTTTTTAAATGAAATGGACGCCAAAGTCAGCGTTAATATATAGAAATGTACAACATAATAAATGCGTCGCAGCCCTTTAGCTCAGATTTTAATGCAATAGAAAATGTGTGTTCAAACATATTTAAAACGACAAATATCCGCTTTATGAAACAATCTTCTAGAACCATGTTATATGGTTAGTGGTATGACTATTTAATACCGAGTTTGCTCAAAGTAGCTTAATTAACAAAAAACATTTTCTTATACGAATATAACTTTCGACCCATTGTTTCTATAGCAGCTGTACGATACAGTTGTCCGATATTATGTTGATTTTGCTAATATGTAGGGAGCATAGTAAGCCATATTTATTGACAAAGTTTTTCATATAAAAACATAAATTTTGACCAATCATTTCTATGGAAGCTTCATAATGTATTGGTCAAGTCCAAACGGCTCTGACATATGTACATATGATGCGCTTCCAACAGAAATACAAACCTTTGCAACGTATTAAGTTTGCTTTAAAACTAAGAGAATAGTAGTGGTAGACGGATATGGCTATGACAAATTATATTACCCTCTACAAATGCTAACGCTGATGTATGCATATAAGCTAGTCAACGCCAAAATTCGTAGAATTTAAGACATTAAAATGATCATTGTCGTTCCTTTAAAAATTTTAATGTAATCGTATTTTCCCATACTTGATTATTCAATGGGTTTGCCTACTGTATTTTAATCGTTTATATAATAAATTTAATTTGCGGTTTCACATGCATCCACCCAATCGTTATATACATCTATTGGCTCTGACAGAAAGTTTATCCCAGTTTGAAAATCCTCTAGACAAACGCGACATGTTATTTTAGCAGTGTTCCGTCCTTTATCCCTGAAATATTTGCATGGAGGCATTAAAAAAGTTGGACAATTTTTTAAATCATACGTACAAATTACATTTTTACTTCACATGACTTTTCATGATTACAAAATGGGCAGTTAAATTGTTGATCCAAAGGCTCAATGTTTTTTCTTTTAGGTGGAGGTTTTCTTTTAGATTTTCTTCTTCCCATTTTTAATCAGAATCAAGAACTGGATATTGAGATCGGCAAGAACTCGAGTTATTGATTATTTTAGAGATATATGAGACAACAAGAAATCAAGACAAATTTTTTAGACGACCATGTTCTCATGGTTTCTTTGGTGTTTACAATGAATTGACAATGTATCGATATTTTCCGATATTTTCAGTTAACAATGCTTTAACACTTATGTGGAACATAAATTATTATATGTTCAGTAATTGCTTGAGAATTTTCTTTATGCGAAATACCTATTAGGAATTTAAGGAATAAATATCTAGAACATAATAATTTAATAATAATGTTGGTTACTCAAAATTTGAAAAGCATTCAAATAGCTTGAGCACTGTTTTTTATTTTGGGAACAACAAATTTCTTATATTGTATCTTCATATATACTTTATATTACTTTTTTAATTTGCCATGTATGTGTCTTTAAGACAGAACAGAATAATCAGTTAACAAAAATAATTGTTTTAAAATCGACTTAGGAGTTTCGGTTACTTTCCGAACACACAATCGGCCAACCTGCCAATATACATAAGGTGAAACTCTGTTAAGGTCCACCCCAACGGGCCTCTGCCCAACTGTTTTAAATCGGCCATATGGACACCTGCCATCACACAAATCCTGACTTGCATCCGCCTTTCACCATTATCTAATCTAATCTAATCTAATCAATTAATATTTATCAGTATTAAGAATGTCATATTACTTTTTATATAATAAATAAATATATTATAATTTTATCTTTAAAAATATATATATCAAATAAATAAGTAAAGTAAAAATATTTATGAAAATAATAATTACTGTTGTATAATATTAAATCACTAGCCATATAATGCATAACTACATCAAACAGCCGAATAATCGAAACACGATAAATTGCAGCGAGGGAACACCAAGGATACCTGCGACCATTTTTATGTGCTTGGAGTGGCAGCCGAACCCGGCCTCGAATGTCGAACATTCAGTATGAATCCGCATCTCGCTCAGCGCATAACGTCGCAGTTGCTGATTGCATTTTAATTATATATGTATGTTAGTTTCTGATTTGCTCTAACTCATTGTTTTCTGCACTTTTATGCTCTTTTTATCCCTGCATAGCTTTTCATAGAGCCATAGATTTTTTCTTTAATTGTGTGCGTTTTGAGCCTGCGGCAGCGAAATGCAGACACATTCAAATGTTCCATCATATGTTTCCTTGTTTAGTCAGGCTTAACGAGAAGAGTTTGATCTATTTTTCTTTAATAAAAACTGAAATTATCTAAATATATTTATATTTATATTTATATATTTTATATGTGTGCGTTTGTGTGTGTGCAGAGCTCAAAATTCAGAAATCGCCAAAACTTCGAATCTTGTCAAAATTGCATCGGGCAGGCAGGCAGGCAACCAACAGGCACAAAAACGCATTAATAATTTTTCCATATATAAAGTGTGTAAGCTTGGCCAGTCCAAAAGGTTTTCATGCACACATACCACATTTAAGTACTCTAACCTACAACAGGCATGGAAAATACCCATTTTGCACATGAACATACCAAACCCGTTGATAATTGTGCATATGTAGCAAATCGCAAGAATTACGGTTCCATCGCTGCGATGTATCGTGTTTCGATAATTCCTTTAGTATGTTTGTATGGTTAGTGATTAAGTATATATATTTATATATATAAAGACCGATTTCCATTCATGCTTAAGGGGCATGCTTCTAAGCCGGGCTCTGGGCATTTTAAAAAAAGAGAACTGTGTTTGTTGTAGAGAGATTAAAAAAGAAAAAAAGAGAGCCAAGTGAAAACCGACTGCATGTGGGAATTTTAAAACCATAACAAGTAAATGGTTCCAGTCGGGAGCTTCCGACTAGGAGATACCCTGAACCCTCTTCTTCCAACATCAAATGCATATAAATATTCTATTTTAGAAGCTGTGTCAAGTTTGCTGACTCTAGCTCTAATTATTTACCAAAATTGCATAAAAAATAGGATGTCGATATCGAAGTTTATCGATTGCTTAGAAACGGAGTAAGTTATCGATTATCGGAAACAAACTCGATCTCCGCACTAGTAGCACCTACATCTAAAATTTCAAGGTGTCTAGGTCTATAGAACCTATAGTTCTGAGATCCTTGCGTTCATACATACGGACAGACGGACAGACAGGCAGACGGACATGGCTAGATCGACTCGGCTATTGGTGCTGATCAAGAATATATATATAATATGGGGTCGGAGATGCTTCCTTCTGCCTGTTACATACATTTGGGTTTTGCACAAATATAGTATACCCTTATACCCATTTTTAACGGGTTCAGGGTATAAAAAGGGAAATAAAGCGGCAATGTAAAAAAATATAATATATGAGTCTGTATGAATCCTTTCAGGTACTCCGATCTGCATGAATATATATATGATCGCGTTATTAATGCACCACTGTTGTAGTCGTCGTGTTTTGTATCACTCTCAGCCAGATGAATTTGGAAAAGTGATCAAGCTCTGTAAAAGGGTACTTGCCCATTTGCAACTTTTATATTTTTCTTTCTGTGTTAGCTTCTATACGTATAGGTATATAAGTAATATGGTCGTGTGGTTTGCCTTTTTAGAGGTTCCGAGGTTGATGACGCTTCTTCACTTCAAACGGTCTAGACAACACATCTGCTACAATATTGCCTTTGCCTTAAAGAGCTAGTGACCACCGAACGAGTCTCCCACTGAGATATTTCAGTGTGATAAGCCACTGCTGAATAGCATGGTCCGTAAGTGCTGTAGTAATTGCTGTGAACGGTATCAGCTCTACAAATGGAAGGAAACGTTTGGCTGTTTCGACGGCTGCAAGGCATTGCTTTTAGTTATGCTACAATTTCGTTGTACTCCAAGCATTTTGGATGGTGCATTTGTGAGTGCATTTTTACACTCCTGGAAAGCCTTTACCGCTTCTTGCGTATGAACTAATTCGCTGAATTCGCTGTACCATCCCACTATGCCTAAAAGGCCTCGTAGTTACTTAGAGGTATTCGAAAGAACGATCTGCAATATGGCCGGCAAGGTCGGTTCGCAGTACACCGGCTCGAAGCCCAATAATTCAATGTAATGCTGCAAACACTGGGTAGAATCGCTCTTTGACTGGCACTGCTCCTTCCACAAGTTGAAGAAATTCATTTTCCATGCTTGTATGCCCCAATCCCCGACACCTAATCGTGTCCTTTCCGCGGTCGTTTTATCGAAAATTCGTGCTCGAGCTTTGTATATTCTGCTTCACTTCTTTCAAGTTGCTTACGTTCTGTCTATGTAATGTAAATATATAAATTATATTTAATAATTTGTAGAGACATTTAAACCGCACAGTGACGGCTTAGAGCGCAACTCTTCTGCTTGCGTCAGGCTATTTTTTGCCTAGCAATTTGAAAATTTGGGAAGAACAGCGCTTGGCAGACCACATTTATAACAAAACCTCGGATTCGCACTCGCAAAATGTGTGTCCTCTCTGGGCACATTTCCAACAGGTTAGTTTATCGCTATCTTATAACGAATTCTATCTTATAAAGATTGCATGCGGCATTCTTTTTTTCTTTTTTCCTTGGCAGACTGTTATTGACTCCACGCTGGGAGTAGTTCCAGCAATTCATTCAATGCGCTTTGGATTCTTTGAATTTGGGTTGCTCGAGTTTTTCTGGTGTTTTATGGTTGACATTTCAACCAGGATTTAAGATCTTTTCCTCGGCCCCCGTAGCTGACTATCAGCGGACAGACTTTACCAAAAGACGTATGACTATTGCATATACAATTTGTAACTGTCTGTACACTCGATTTCTCACATAATCCCTATTTCCTTTGGGCGCACACTTCAACGGAGTAGATCCAGATAAGCGTCAATATAAGTTTTAAAGGCAGTGCATTCGTAGAGATTTACAGCTTGCTTTGCGATTTGAATAGGTAGTCAAGATTTTGAAGCCGTTTCATACATATGGTCTGGTTGCTGTGATGTAGAATCCCGATGAGCCTGCAGGTAGAAGTCAAGATGCAGAATGAGCTGTTGTGCTCCATGGTTTCTCCATCGAACAGTAGTCCCTTGCTACTATATAGGAGTAACGTGAAGGTGACGCAGCCCAGAAGCAACCAGTCCTGTATCTTGTAGGGACTCATGCGAAGCCAGGACGGCCGCATCAACTGCTAACGTTGCCACCAGCAGTCTGGAAGTTCTAATGGTTCCGTTGTTTTCTTCTAGAATGCTGAAAATTACACAGTGTTACGAGACACCTGCTTTGATCCCTTTGACCCTCGAGCTTTGGTCATTATTGGTCATTAATGGTGACGTTGAAGGAACGTCGTGCCAGGAATTTGCTCAAGATACCGAAATATGGCGCAGCGAGTAGGGCTTTTCCTTAAGCACGTGGATAACACCCGGTGATCCTATTTTTGGGCAGCCATGAGACGCATGACTTTGCCAAGCATGCACCTGAAAATTAACGGAAGTGTCATAATGCCTTTGCGTTGGAGTACCTTGGCTGCTCTGTTGTCAATTTCATCGCTCCCAGGTGTGCTTTTCAACAGATATGCTACTGATTGAAAAATACAGTGGAGCATCGAATAACTGAGCTATGAAACATCATGAACAGATGAAAGGGCGTGAAGGATGCCTCCAGTCAGCAAACACATTCACCATCTCCGCGTACGATCGAAGCCAGAGGCCACTAAGACTGATGATCGGACAACTTTTTCCAACTAAAGTATATAAGTTAACACATAAAACTTAATATAGAATATTTCATAAGTTTATAATCAATCCTCGCTATCACGTGCTTCATAAGTTAAGGAACAGCCCTCGCAATTGCGACACTGCATACTTTGTATCAGCACGCTATAGCTGCAATGGTCAGCGGCGGTAACCGGACACTTTTGTTTTGCTGCAAGAGTTTCCGTTATTGCCTAAGATTTTGCTGAGTCGGCTTGCCGACCATGACATTGTGGTGATGCGAGTTTTGGCTTAGCTTAAAAATATTCTGTGTATTAAGAAATTAGTTTTTAATGCGGCTTTCACTGAGGCACATCGGCCCAGGGACTTCGCGCTTAAATTAACTCACTCACTACGGCGTATCGGCCTAGTGTTTTATAAATAACCAAAATTACGAAAA